TCAAACCTTTTGAACAGTTGCAAAGACTGAGGTTTCTGCACTCCTGCTGTCTGGGTACTCTCGTTGTTTCACTGACCAAATCAGCAAATCCCATCCTAGAGGGTGTAACTGTTTTTTGGAGTAAAGTGACCAGATGACTCACCCCCATCCCCGAAGTTGTCTGCAGCTTAACTTGACTGAAGGCGTGACTGTAGTCACAAGGACTTAGTGTAGGTGTGTTTGTCCTAGGTCATACTAGCACCCAGAGGTTCCCACACTCTGCAATTGCAGCACATCACCCACCCTGCCATCTCTAATATATGTTAATTCATTAATAGTTGCTAATTAATTAATGTATTAATACAGTCTGCACCTCTCACAATAAATTTTAGCACTGCCAATAAACTTTACAATGCTGATAAAAGCAGTTACACTACTGATAAAACTTAAAGTTTCTGACATTGCCAGTTACTGATTTACCTGCTATTTCTGCACAAAATTGGAGATCCAGTGCTGGATGCTGAATGAAAAAGTAGAAGACAAAAGGCACTTCCTCCCTGACCTTCACCAATCTCCCCACTCAGAACACTTTATTTCTTAAAGCATCTCTTTTACCCTATGTACGGAATTCCTATTTTGAATTAAATCCCTAATTATAATCACTAATCTTCTATCTCATCCAGGTGAAGTCTCCCTCACATTGACTGTGTGGCCTTATGTCTTACATGTCGCTGAAGTTTTTTGTCCTGATGTTATCAGAACAAATGTGAGAATGTCAAATATCAAATAATCACATTGATTTATGCTACAGGAGACAAGGGTGCTGATTGGTTGTCAAATTGTGTTATGAACCAGACTAGACCCCCTCTCAATATTTTGAGACCGTAGCCTAGCCTCTAACTTTTTCGTATTTTAAAGGCAGATATGAAGTGCCGTGTTCCAGATGCAATGCCACTGGTCAAACTACTCGACGTTAAGCAAACACAATGTAATTAAACACTATAGTTAAAACACAAAGAAAAGAAAGACAGATTTAGAATAACTTAACTATTGGAAAACTTAACCAAATAATAGATACAGTAACTATTGCTAATTAACTGTTCCAATACAGTAACATCCTGTAAACACACCCCTTGGCAAAACGGAAAATTCAGACACAGATTCTGACAAGAAGTTCTCCAATCCAGGAGGAAAAAAATAATCAAGAAGGTTCAGAGAGAATAGCTGCCAGGACACATTCACTGAAGTTTCCAACTCTTTTGAGACCCCAAAGGCTTCTGTTACTGAAAAAACTTAAAACCAGAAATCTGGAACTGTAAGAGTTGACCACACCAGGCTGCTTCCATTATTCCAACTTTAAACAAAAAACCCCAAGATCTCACAATTTGTTTACTTTCTTAGAGACAACTCTGAACCTCTGCTTTACAACCTCTCTAACAGGACAAAAAAGCCTCTTAAAGTGATGGCATCGTCTCAATTGATTGGCTGAGGCATTGCCTTGGCAGAATAAATTTGAATGGTTGGCTCCCTTTACTTCTGGTTATTGCAAAAACAGTGCAAGCCTTGAACATATTTTTCTTTGCAGAAAACAGCCCCTACCATTGAATGTATGCCATTCCTGGCAAGCATAGGTAAGCCATGCTTTGTGTTCAGCTGATTATTTTAAATTAAGTTTTAGAGTAGCTGTTAGCGTATTTGAGATAGAGTAGTGTGTGCTGAACAATCTAAAGATCTTGCGTTTGTCCTGATGAGCACAAGATGAAAAACTTTGACAATGTTTCTCCCTGTTCAGTAAGTTTTAGCACTTGAGTAATCTGGACTAAGGCAGTAAAACTTTGGTTAGGTTTGTGGTTTTGGTCACTGTTCAGTAACCTTTGTTAGAAGATACATGTATGAATACTGGATGAGAATAGAACTGACTTAGCACTGATCTAGCTCTCAGTCAAGGAACTTGCTGACACTTAATATTTACCTCATGTATGAAGAATGGGAACTTAGACAATTGTACTTAAGTATTGACATCTTCAGAAGATGGTTAGAAAATTTTTAAAAAATGAAGTGATTGTGATTTAATGCTGTTGCAATATTAAAAACTTCTGCTCATGAATGTTAGGGCTGTAAAGATTTTAGAGGTTTTAATTGCTGTTTGTTGTACAGATTTTTGGAGCCTTTTTTATTTTCTAGGTGAACTAAACAAAAAGGGAGATCGCGTAATTATAGCCCATGGTGGTCGTGGCGGTTCGTTTGTGACTAACTTTCTGCCTTCTAAGGGGCAAAGCAGAATTATACGGATGGATTTGAAGCTTGTAGCTGATTCAGGATTGGTTGGGTAAGTTTGGATTTCATATCTATCTTCATTGCTCCCTTGTCAGTTACTGATTTATTTGCAAATAATGGATGTCTAGAATTTGTTGAATAATATGTTTGCTTATTTTAATTTTGATGTTGATTCAGAACTTTGTTGTGGTACCTTTTTTTGAACAAGGTAATGGAAGTTTGGCACATGAACAGGCCGGTGCATCTTATGATAGGGTGAGCTGCTTATAGATGTAAAAAAAACAATATTTTCCCACTCCTGGTGAGTGAGCACAGAAATTGTATCCTCTTGTATAAAATTCTGAAAGGATTTGAGAGGGTGGATGCTGAGAGTTTGTGTTCTCTATCTGGAGTTTTGAACTTCAGGGAGTCATAGTCATAAGGGCAAGATCATTTTGGATTTAGATGAGGAGACACTTCACTCAATGGTGAATCTTTCAAACTATCTATCTCAAAGGGTTGTGGATATTCAGTCAGTAAATTTATTCAAGAGATTGACATATTTTTCAGCTCTTGGAGAATTAAGGGATATGGGGGAAAGTGGAGTTGAGCTAGAAGATATGTCATGATCTCGATGTGGAGCATACTGAAGGGGCCGTGTGACCTCTTTCTATTTCTTGTCTTTTTAACAAGTGATTTTTTGTTAAAGGAGCTACTTAACTGGGGATAGTATGATGTCTTTTTCCTCTACTTGTATATGGGTGTATGAGTCACTTGATTACTGAGTACTTTTCATTTGGGAAAAAATAGTTGTTGCTTATTCAAGAAGGCTTTTTAAACAAACCAAAATTCTTGCATGTGGTGGCTGTAAGACTAAATCTAAAATGTGTGCTGTGTGTGTCAGTCGTTCCGAATTTGCATTTAAATAAAACAACAAATTGCAGGTGCAGGAGATCTGAAACAAAAACAGTAATTGCTAGAGAAACTCTGCAGGTCTGGCAGCATCTGTAGGAAGAAGGCAAAGTTAATATTTTGAGACCAGTGACTCCTCTTCAGAATTGGCTTTGACCTGCTGAATTTCTTTAGCAATTTTTATTCCTATTCCTAATTTGCACTTCTCTGATTTAAAAATATTACAGAAGCTATTTTGAAATAGGTCCAGGAAGTTTGTAGTTATGCTTAATCAGCATATTTGGATGTGTTCTAACACACACCCAGTTCAGGTAGGACTTGAACCTATATTTTCTGGCCCAGAGATAGGGACAATAAAACTGAGTTTGTATGGTCAGGACAGAATACAAGGTGGATTAATTAAGGAAATCCAACATTGATTTGATTAAAGGCAAATTGTGTTTAACTAACTTACTTGAGTTTCTTGATGTGGTAACAGAGAATGCTGATGATGGATATGGATTACCATATGTAACCATAATGTTACCATAATCCATATGTACATATGGATTACCAACAATCATTTAACAACATTCTCAGCTGCCAGCAAAATTAAAACCCAAAAAATAAAATAGGCGGAGGCTGCATGGATATTGAATGACAGGGAATGGAGTATTGAGTAATGACTGTTTCTCAGACTGAAGAGAAGAACATGGAGGTCTTCCCTGGTGACCACTGTTTTTCTTGATATATATTAATAACTTACACTTGGATGAGCATTTACTCTGTATCCTTTTCCTTCAACATTTTGGGATGAGACACATTTCTTCCTGGAGATTGTGCAGCAGAACTTTCTGGAAAAGTACATTTACAGTCCTTCCAGGGAGGAAACTGTACTGGATCTGGCCCTAGGAAATGAGGCAGGACAGGTGGAGAATGTCAGAGTGGAGGACCATTGGGAAATAATGGTCATAATATGATAAGGTTCAATATTAAGTTGGAAAAGGATAAAAATAGTCTAGACTGGAAAAAGGCAGATTTTAGGACTCTAAAGATTGAACTGAAGCAGGTTGATTGGAAACTCATTTTGGTGGATAAAACAGTGGATAAAAAATGGGAGAAAGAAAGATGAATAGGGTGCAAGCGAGGTACATATCCATGAGAAATAAATGTGGGATAAACAAAACTATAGTACCCCAGATGAGTAAGGATATTCATGATAAAATAAGGAAGAAAAGGAGGCAAATGATGCATACCAGAATAATAATAGCAATAGAAATCAGGAAGAGTATCTCAAATTCAGGAGAGAGGCTAAAGCTGGAATGAAGAAGCATGAGGAAAGGCTGTGGTAAAACAAATAGTAAAATGTTCTTCAAATGTATTAATAGTAAAAGATTAGTGAAAGATAGAATGGGGCCCATAAAGACCAAACAGGATAAGTTGTTCACTGAAGTAAAAGGTATGGCAGAGTTACTAAATGTGTAACTTGCTTCTGTGTTTACCAAATTAGAAAATGGTGACAGTGGCATGGTATTGAGCAACTAGGCAGTATAGTTACAAATAAAGGAAAGGTGCTAAAAAGGCTGGCAGCACTTCAGGTGGAGAAGTCACAAGACTTGGATGGGATGCACTCTAAATTGCTAGGAGAGGTAAAGGTACAAGTTGCGGTGCCATTGACAGAATTTTTCCAGGTGTCTGTGAACACAGGATTATTCCCGAGGGACTGGAGGATTGCCAAATGTGATACTGTTGTTTAAGAAGGGGGAGAAGAATACCCCAGGAAACTACAGACCTGTCAGCAATAGTGAGAAAATTGATGGAGTCCATAATAAGCGATAGGGTACATATACTTTTAGCAAAAAATAAATCAATACCAGATAGTCAACATGGCTTTGTCATATCTGACAAATTCAATTGAGTTCTTTGATGAGTTGACACAGGGAGTGGATGAGGGTAGTGCTGTGGGTATTGTGTGTTTGGCCTTTCAGAAAGCATTTTATGTGGTGCCATATAAAGCAAATTAGAAATGTTTGAGATTGAGGGTGGGATAGGAAATGGAGAGTAAGTATAGATGGGAATCTCTCAAATTGGGGATGAGTTGAAACGGTGTTCCCCATGATGATAGTATAACGTTAAGAGGTGTATTTTTTTGAAGAGAGCTTTTAAGACAGAGGTAGCAAGCTGTCCATTCAAAGCCAATAAAGTAAACAGCTTGAGAGGCCTTGGGTGTTTTTTAAAATGCTAGAATAATAGAAGCAGCATGAATGGGGGGAGTCAGGCTCCCACAGAACAAAGATTTTAGTTTAGATTTCAGCAGTTGTTGGAGCTTTGAAGCTGCCTAACATCTCTCCCTGCAACAGCAAAACACTTGAGTTCTCTCTCTCTGCCAGAATTTTTTTCTTAATGCTCTTTCCTTCCGGACTAGAGAAACATTGCATATCGTACAATCTATTTTACAGAATTTGTCTTTGCCAAAGGTGTTTTTATGGTCTGTTACTATATGAATAGTTACTATTTAATCATTAAATGATGTATTATTCGGTTTTCCAATAGTGTTAACGTTATACCAGTTCTTTCTTTTGTTGTATTTTAGCTGGGTATACGAATAAAGTGTTTTTTGCTTAAAGCTGAGTAGTGTGACCAATTGAGTTACATCTGGATCACAGCACCTTATACTTGCCATTTAAATGGCAAGATAAATATTAGGGTTTAGGCTGTCTCCTTGATATATTTGAAGGGGGTTTGGTATGGTCCATAATACCCAGGGATTGATGTTGTGACTGTTGCATTTTCTGATATATATCAATAATTCAGAGATGGGTGTTGAGGGCAAAATCTCTAAATTTGCAGATGATACTAAGCTAGGGAGAATAGTGAATTGTGAGGATGGTGCTAAGTGACTTCAGAGAGACATTGACAAATTGGCCAAATGGCTATTCACCTGACAGATGAAATTAAATGCAGAGAAATATGAGGTAATGAATTTTGGTAGAAGAAACACAGAGACAATGCAGGCTTAACGGTACAACTTCGAGGGGAGTACAGGAGCAGAGGGACCTCGAGGTTCATATGCATAATTTTCTGAAGGTGACCAGGTGAATTGAAACAGTTGTTAAGAAGGCTTATAGGTCCTTTGACTTGTAGGTAGAGCCATAGAGTATAGAAGCAAGGAAGTAATGCTGCACCTCTGCAAATCATTAGTCAGACCATATTTGGAGTATTGTGTTCAATTCTGGGCAACTCATTTAAGGAAAGAAATTTATGCCCTAGAGATTTAGCAAAGGAAACTTACTAGAACGATACCAAGAATCAGGGATTTTAGATACAAGTAAAGATTAGCGAAATTGGGCTTATTCACCTTGGAGTAGAGAAGATTAAGAGGTTACCTTATTGATGTATTTAAAATTATGAACAATGTTGACAGGGTAAAGAAGGATATTCTGTTTCTACTAGTTGGTATGTCAGTAACTAGGGGTCATAACTTCCAAGGTTGTCAGCAAGAGAGCCAGGAGTGAGATGAAGGGAAACTTCTTTACTCAGAGATTTTAGGATTTGGAATGCTCTGCCTGGGCAAATGGTGAAAGAGGATTCCATGTGAGGTTTCAAAAGAGAGCTAGATATATATTTGAAAGTTATGAATTTAGAGGGCTACTGAGATGGGCCTGGAGAATGGGACTAGCTGGGTACCTCTTCCAAGAGCTGGTGCAAACACAATGGGTCGAATGATCTCCTTCTGTACTGTAAATTCTATAAATTGTATGATTTACCAACCTTTGATGCAGTTAACTTTTCACATAGTACCTCTTTACTAATACCAAATTCTTTTAGTCCCTCAGTTTCACAATTCTGTTGGTTGTCCCGTATTTATGGGGGATCTTTTGTATCTTCTTCTGTGAAGACAGGTGTAAAATAACTTTAGTTTTTCTGAGATTTCCCGGTTCTCATCTATAAATTCTTCCATCCCAACCAGTAATAATCCACATTTGCCTTAGCTAATCTTTTCCTTTTCACAGTTGTCTTACCATTCACCTTTACATTTACATTCCTCACTCGTTTGCATTCATATAGGGTTTATTAATAGGACATGGATTACAAGAGCAGGGAGGTTATGCTATATTTATTTAGGATATTGGTTAGACCTCAGGTGCGGGATTGTGTACAGTTCCCACACCTTAGGAAGTGTGTGAATGCATTGGAGAGGTAGCAGAAATGGTTTTGAGAATGGTTCCAAGCATGGGAAATTCAGTTATGTGGATAGATTGGAGGCGCTGGGACTCTTTTGCTTGGAGAGGGAAAAGTTAAGTGGAGATTTAGTAGAAGTTTTCAAAGTCAGGAGGAGTCTGGACAGAGTATACAGGGAGAATTTGTCCCCAGTCATAAAAGATCAAAAACTAGATGGTATAGTTTTAAACTGCTTCTGAAAGAAGTAAATCTGAGGTGAGGAAGAAACTACACCAATTGTTTTGGGTTTGGAATGTACCACCTGGAAGTGTAGTGGATGCATGTTCAACTAAGGCATTCAGGAGGGCATTGTTTCTATTTAAATAATCATCTAATGTGCAGGATTATGGGAAAAAGCATTAGATAGGTATTAAGTTAAAACTGTCAGAGAACTTATGCAGATACATTGGGCCAAAAGGCCTCTTGTAGCAAATCTGCAATTCTCTTAAACAATTTCTTGGCTGTCCTTTGGCTCTAGGTTTCTTCAAATTCTTTTTCTTTCCTCGCTTATCACTTTTGCTGGTATTTTTAAAGCCACTTCCTTTTATCTCCTGCAATCTTAAACGTACTTCGTTCATCACAGCTTTTTTGCCTTTTCCGTTCGGTTTTGTACCTTAGTTTGTTTAACATCAAATTTTTTAGTGTATATTCCTAATCCAGTTTAGCCAACTTGCTCTTTATAATTTTCCTTCTTTAGATTTAATACCCTAGTTTTTGGATGAACTATATTACATTCAAACTTAATGCCAAGTAACACATTATGATCACTATTTCCCATAGGCTGCTTCACAGCAAAGTTATTAATTACCCCTTTCTCATTGCATAACACTAAATCCAAAATAGCCCAATGCCTAGTTGGTTTCTCAGCGTATTGCTCTAGTTACCTGTCTTATACACAGATGAGGAAAGTCATTTTTACACAGTGTGGTTGTGATCTCTGTTGCATTAGCTGAGAGTAGTGGGGCAGATTCAGTCTTGACTTTCAAAATGGACTTGGTAGTTATTGAAAGGGAAAAATTAGCAGGGCTATTGGGAAAGGTCAAGGCTGTGACTAGAGAGATGAACTCAAATGATTTCCTTCTGTGCTGTGAGCATTCAGTGATTCTACTCCATGATCTTTCAAAGATAACAAACTGACATTAACAAGGAGGTAAATAAGATCATAAACTGATGTGACAGCAGTGTCAGCAATAATTTGACTGAAAGCTAACATCTATCAGCGGCCGTACGTTTAATAAATTGAACTCAAATGTTGTTTTCTTAGTTGTTTTTTTTTGCAACAGTTATAGCACCTCAATGTCAGATGGCTGAATGAGATTGTTCGATTCTGTTTACATCTGCTGTACATTTGGATAATATACAAGGTGGAGAGGATTCAGTTTGCATAGATGTCATGCAGATTGAATCTGTACTAACAGCATAAACAAAGTATGGATTAGACAAACAAAATGAAATGTGCAGCCCTGGGGCTGAAGTAATAACAATTACTGCACTGACAAATTGTTCTGTTTTATTAACTTTGAAGAGCTATGTTGAATGAAAGTTGGATAAATTTAGTGTTTCATTGAATTTCGGTCCAACTTAAATTGCATACTGATTTTTGCATTGTGCCATTTAGTGTTGTATCTACTTAGCAAATTATTGGAAGTTTTATTCTTTTTAAGTTGCTATCTTCAGCTAACAGATTTTCCTATTCATTGCAGGTTTCCAAATGCAGGGAAATCTTCATTATTGAGTCAGCTGTCTCATGCCAAACCTAAGATTGCAGATTATCCATGTAAGTGTAACAATGGAAGAACTATTCTTTTAAAGATTTATTTCCCATCTAGTGTCTGGCATTCCGCTCCTTTTAAAATTACCATGCTGCCTCTTCAAACATGAAGAGTGTCTGATGAAAAGCACTACACTTAGCATCATCGCTTTTAATTTGTTCCAGGTGCCACATCAAATTTGTACATTCCAAAACCTAAACCTTAGGCAGGATCATGTAGGGGTCTGAGCAATGTGGCCCATTGCAAGATGTATGGCAGAATTGGGCAACAAATGTGGCAAGGTCCATCTTAACATCACGATCCTCTCTGTCTTGTATGTTTTTCACAAGTGGCATGGCAGTGTTCTTGCTAGACAGCTGTGATATGCCAATTAAGGATCATCATTAACTTTTAAATAAACAGAGAATGCTGGGGAAACTAAGTCTGGCAGCATCTGTGAAGAGAGAAACAGAATTAATGTTTTGAATCTGGTGTGACTTTTTTTCAGAACTTAATATTCAAACTGCCATCTTGTCAAGCTTGCCAAACAAGTTGGATGTTGGGAAAACTGAACAAAAAAACCAGAGCAAACACCTGATGAATTCAGTTTGCCTCTTATTCTAAATAATCTTCATGTTGGAAACCGAGCACTAACATCTCAGGGTATTGGCCATGTATTCCACATGTCCATGGACATTAGCAACTGACCATAAGACCATAAGACAACGGAGCAGAAATTAGGCCATTCAGCCCATTGAGTCTGCTCCGCCATTCAATCATGGCTGATAAGTTCCTCAACCCCATTCTCCTGCTTTCTCCCGTAACCCTTGATGCCCTTGACAATCAAACTGACATGCTAGCCTCTAACAAACTCATGACACATCTCTGGTTCACCTACAGGCACTTCTGCTCTTCAATTCTGTATCACCGTTAGCATAGGTAACTACTTTTGTAATGCTGCTGCAAGGATAGTGAGCAGTCTGCTACATTGATCCAGCTCATGGAATGGACCAGGCTGCACCTTTGGGCTCTTCGCTTGATGTCATAATGTTCACTTACTTCAATCCTATCTGGAGGCTCACAGCATCTCTGCCTTGCATTGCCTTTTTTGCACTGTGCTCAGCCAGAGATACCAGGCTCATAGTACTGCTATCTTGCCTTGCCACTTAGCGCAGGCATAAAGCTATGAAACTTTTCATAGTTATCAGCAGGCTTCAGTCAAGTCATAGGTGCTTAGGTGGTGCCAGCTTAGTAAGTCAAAGGCAGCCTCCGATACCAGCCAGGCCGTGCTCAGAGTCAGGTTGCTCTCCACATCAGGAGTGAGTAGCCAAAGGTTGGGCAGCACACTATACGTCGACTCTTCCTGCACTATTGTGGATTTTTTTCCCCTTGGATGAGTGAGAGGCAGGTATCGAGGGAGATGAAAATGGGTGGCACAGCTATTCTTTTTGGTGCAGGTGGGGAGGTGACCTGAATGAGTGAGTAGGAAGCGCAGAGGGCAGGCAGCATTACTGGTGTTAGGTGTTGGGGTGGGTGAAAGTGAGAGAGTGTGGTAGAGCATGACCCTTGTGAGTGGTGGTACAATAGTAGAGATAGAGTGAGTATGAGGTATCAGAGAGAAGATGGTGGAATGTACCCTGACAAAGGGCATCAGTCTTCCTATAGCGGTAGGCATTGTTCCAAACAGCTGAGAATGATCTAACCAGAGTAGCAACCTTGGACCCGAGGCTGGCACGGTCTGGTGTTGTGGCCTGTATGGCTGGTCCTGGGGGAAGATGAAATTCTACATTGGCACCACCCTATCCATCTCGACCTCCAGAAACCTGGCTGTGCAGTGGAGCCCCAATTTCCTGCTGTCTGCCATCTTGAGAGTACAACCTTTCCAGGACAGCTCTGAACTGACACAGGGCTTGTCAAGGCACACGATGGCTTTTAATGATGTTGTGGGTGGAGGGAATGCTGGTGAATTCTGGGATATTTAGTAAGTGAAAATTAGACAGTGGTTTGGAGTGGGATTTATTTGGGTGGGTGGGTGAGTGAGTGAGTTTGTGGAGGAAAGAAGGTAGGTGGATTTAGTGGTGGTGTTTGGATGGGTCAGACAATTGGTAGTCGCACAAGGTCAGGCATGTGGAAGATTATGTAATGGGTGGTGATTTTGGGATGATGTGGAGGTATTGGACTGGGGTGGATAAGGTCAGAAATCACACGACACCAGGTTATAGACCGAACAGGTTTATTTGAAAACACAAGCTTTCAGAGCCCCGCTCCTTCTTCAGGTGTTAGTGAGAGAGGTGGGCGAAGTGTGTGTGTTTGTGTGTGTTTGAGTATTTGATGGAGAATGTGTGTGGGGGTATGGGGGGGGGGGGGGGTGTGGGGAAGAGAGAGAGAGAGAGAGAGTGTGTGTATGAGTGAGTGAGTGAGTGAGTGAGTGTGTGTGTGTGTATGTGTATGTATGTATGTATGTATGTATGCATGTATGTGTGTGTGTGAGAGTGTAAAATGTGATGGGGTCACCAGTAATGTGGTGGGGCCACCTGTAGTGTGACATGAACCCAAGATTCCGGTTGAGGCCATCCTCATGGGTGCCAAACTTGGCTGTCAACCTCTGCTCAGTGACTCTGCGTTATTGTGTATCCTGAAGTCCATCTTGGAGGATGTTTACCCGCAGATTCGAGGCCAAATGTCCTTGACTGCTGAAGTCTTCCCTCATTGGGAGGGAACATCCCTGTCTGGTGATTGTTGTGCGGTGTCCATTCATCCATTGACATAGCGTCTGCATGGTTTCGCCGATATACCATGCCTTAGGCATCCTTGCCTACAGCGTGTGAGGTAGAAATGTTGGCCGAAGATGTCGAAGATCTGACATGTCTTGCAGAGGTGGCCATGATAGGGTTGTATAGTGCTGTGGTTGATGTTGCCCTGAAGGCTGGGTAGTTTGCTGTGAACAATGGCCTGTTTAAGGTTTGGCGAGAAATGGAGGCTTGGGGAAGATCCTGACAAAGTGCTCATCATCATCAATAATGTTGAAGGCTGCAAAGAACATGGTGTAGTTTCACTACTCCCGGGAAGTACTGGGTGACGAAGGGTACCCTATCGGTTGTATCCCATGTCTGTCTTCTGAGGAGGTCATTACGTTTTTTGCTGTGGCACATTGGAACTGGCAATCGATGAAAGATTTAACAGCATTTTAGGTTTGTTCAGTACATCCTCATCAGTGGTGTGACCCTTTGATCTTTTACCTATAAATTCTGTGTCTGATGCCACCTCTCTCACTACCACCTGATGAAGGAGCAAGGCTCCAAAAGCTATTGTTTTCAGATAAACCTGTTGGAGTATAACCTGGTATTGTGTGATTTCTGACCTTGTCCACCCAAGTCCAACACCGTAACCTCTGCATCATGGCTACCATCGACACCACTAACCGCCAGCTCAAAGTGGAGAGGATCTCCAAGAAGATCGCGCATATCGACACAGACATTAAATTTCTACAGAAGTGGGAAAAAAGCACAAAAGATCCCAAAATGACTACAAATCACGAACCCACTCAAGTCGACCTACAACACTGATTACACTGAGAGACTTTGCTGTCGCATCTCTCACAAACTCCTCAATCATCTCGTACCCCAACTCTATAGCTAGTGCTGTAACCTTGAAATCAAGATAGAGTCCATGCTCTCAGCTTGCACTCAAGATACAGCAGTACAGTTACAAAACGCTGCCAAGCAGATGAGGCAACGGAACTACACCACCTACATGCAGACCAAAAACAAGAAACTGGAGAAACTTGGCATCACCACCAACAATAACCAAGTGTTCCTTGGTACCACATTTGAAAGCGGTAACACCACAGGAAAATCCATCGTCAACTTATCTGACCAGACCCTTCAACTGGACAAGATCAATGTTCTCAGCTGGGGGCTCAGTTTTTGCCCCATCACCAAAATGGACCCCATTGGTCTTGCGCCAGACACAGAGGAATTCATCAGATGAATGAGCCTCCAGGAATTCTTCAAGATGTCAGCAGCAAGCCCAATGAGACAACCAATGAACTGAATCAGTCAACCGAGAGATCCACAGGGGAGAAGGAGTCGAATTGGACCCCTCCAGAGGGGCGTTGCCCAGAGTTTGACAGATATGCTCAAGCCACCAGAGAACATGTGAACGCCAGATTCATCAGCCCCAGTCACAAGTTAGCGCAACATGTCACCCAGACACAATGCAACGACCTTCATGTTCTCAAGACCAATCACAACATTGTCATCAAATCAGCAGGCAAAGGAGGAGCCATTGTCATACAGAATAGAATGGACTACTACAAGGAAGTGTACTGACAACTAAACAACCAGGAACACTACAGACAACTACCTGCCAATCCGACCGAAGAACACACCCGTTAACTGAACAGACAGGTATAGATTTTTGATCCAGTCCTTCAGAGTACCCTACGCATTCTCATTCTGTGTACTTCCCGCGTAGGGGACTTCTACTGCCTTCCAAAGATACACAAAGCCAACACACCTAGACGTCCATTGAATCAGGCAATGGGACCCTGTGTGAGAACCTCTCTGGCTATGTCAAGAATATCTTGAAACCCATTATACAGGGAACCCCCAGCTTCTGTCGCGACACTACAGATTTCTTAGAGACTCAGCGCCCACAGACCAGTCGAATCAGGAGTATTCCTTGTCACAATGGACGTTTCAGCACTCTACACCAGCATCCCCTACAACGATGGCATCGCTACAACAGCCTCAGTACACAATACCACCAACTGCCAATTTCCAGAGGCCATCCTAAAACTCATTCGCTTCATCCTCAACCACAATGTCTTCCCCTTCAACAAACAGCTGTTCATCCAGACGCCTGGAACAGCCATGGGGACCAGATTTGTTCCCCAATATGCCAACATTTTCATGCGCAGGTTCGAGCAAGACTTTGCTGCACAGAACCTCCAACCAATGCAATACACCAGATACATTGCGTGTTTTCTTCCTTTGGGCTCATGGCGAGGAATCACTGAAACAACTGCATTGTGATATTAACATGTTTCATCCCACCATCAGACTTTACTATAGACTACTCTTTAGAATCAGTCTCATTCTTGGACATGCATCTCCATCAGAGACGGATACCTCAGCACCTCACTCTACCACAAGCCCATAGAGAGCCGAACAATGCTGCATTTCTCTAGCTTCCACCCTAAACATATTAAAATAGCCATCCTGTATGGACAAACCTTATGCATACACAGGATCTGTTTGGATGAGAAGGAATGCCATGGACACCCGAAGGTGTTGAAGGACGCCCTCATGAGATCAAGATACAATGATCAGCTCATCGATTGCCAGTTCCTACGTGCCACAGTGAAAACCTGTAATGATCTTCTCAAAAGACAAACACGGGATACGACCAATAGGGTACCCATCATTGTCCAGTACTTCCCGGGAGCAGAGAAACTGTGCCGTGTTCTTCGTGGTCTTCAACACATTATGGATGATGATGAGCACTTCCCCAAGGTCTTCCCCATGCCTCCACTTCTCGCTTCAAATAACTGCCAAACCTCAAACAAGCCATTGTTTGCAGCAAACTACCCAGCCTTCAGCACAACATCAACCACAACACCACACAACCCTGTCATGGCAACCTCTGCAAGGCGTGTCAGATCTTTGACATGGATGCTACCATCACATGTGGGAACGCCATCCACCACATACACAGCAGATACTCATGTGACTTAGCCAGCATTATCTATCTCATACGCTGCAGGCAAGGATGCCCTGAGGCATGGTATATTGGCGAAATCATGCCGACGCTACGACCACAGATGAATGGACACCATGCAACAATTGCCAAACGGATATTCCCTCCCAGTGGGGGAAAACTTCAGCAGTCAAGGAGATTCAACCTTGGATCTTTGGATAAACGTCCTCCAAGGTGGACTTCGGGATACACAACAACGCAGAGTCGCTGAGCAGAGGCTGATAACAGGTTCGGTACCCATGAGGATGGCCTGAACTGGAATCTTGGGTTCATGGCACACTAGTGGTGATCGCTTCACACAATGCACTCTCTCACATGGATGCACACACACGTACATACATACACACATACTCACTCACACGTGCGCTCTCTCTCTCGCGCACACATGCACACGTTATCTCACACAGATCCTCTCTCATAAAGACACTATCTCTCAAGCACGCACGTGCACATACGCACTCTCTCCCTCCCTCACGCTCTCTCTCTCTCACACATACACACACGCACACTCTCTCTCACACAGATCCTCTTTTATACACATACTATCTCTCAAGCACGCGCATGTGTGCACACACGTACACACACATTCTCTCCCTCCCTACCTCACACTCTCTCTCATGCACCCACTCTCTCACACAGTTCTTCTCTTATACACAGTTTCTCAAGTGCGCACACACTCTCTCCCACACACATACTATCTCTATCTCTCTCTCTCCCTCACACACACGCACTCTCTCCCCCCTCACACATGCACATACACACATGTAAATCTATGGGGTGAATTGCAGATGTATTCTATTTTGTACAAAAAGTGCAATTTATACACAGTCAGTCAATGTAGCATTTTATAAATTCCTACTTTAGAAATAAAACTAATTTTACTCCAAATCAAAACACAAACAGATTCTAAACAACATGCATTGTCTGACCTAAAATGTCACCTCTTCTTTCCACTAATAAAACCTTTAGTTCTCTCAGGGCAGTGGCTTGAAAGAAATTCAGGGACTTACATATACATATTTAAACAATTAAAACCTTCTAACTGATTAAAGATTTGACAGCATCTTAGGATTGTTTAATCTATCCTCATCAGTGATCTGACGCTTTGATCTTTATAAATTCTGTGTCTCTCACTACCACCTGAAAAAGGAGCGAGATTCCGAAAGCTTGTGTTTTCAGATAAACCTGTTGGACTATAACCTGTTATCGTGCGATTTCTGATTTTGGATTGTGCTGTTAATTACTCACTTACACCAGAGATTAAACCCTGTATCACTTATAGGGTAAGAATCTGGTTAAGTAGTACATATCAAACACAAGTCTCTGACACTGAAATCAGTGTAAAAGACATTTGGATAATCTCCCATTTAAGGTAAATCAGCCTATCAGAAATTTAAACTTCCTAGAAATTGCAGTGCTTGTATGCACATCAGGAGTATGCTGCAGCAACTTAAGCTCAGTGTGACACTACTTCGGATAGTGGAAGACTTAGTCCATTGTAATATGAGAACAAAAGGACATTATTAGGCTTATTTCGCCAGTGCAGGCTTTCCAAATGAGCAGTCCATCTTGTCCCATTCTCTGTCTCAACCCCCATATGTTTTGTTTATATTAATTTTATTTTTATTTTTCAGTCACTACCATGAGACCAGAAATTGGAAAGTTAATGTACAGTGATTACAAACAGGTATGTGACTCACTTCAATAACTCCCTCTGTCCTTTCCACAACGATTAAGTCAGGGCAATGAAGGAAAATACACTACTTGTTATGATATGGCTGCCACAGTAACACTTTACGATTAACATCAATCAAGATGGAGAGATTCACTTCGTTAGTGTCACCATCACTAAACTCTTGTTTTTCCTCTGCAATGGACTGTAGCAAACTCTGAATTTTGACTGTCTATGTCTCTGTCTCAGTCTTAAGAGTACTCATTGTCCACTCTACTACCGAGATGGAGAAGAAGAACAACTGATTTGGAGGAGAATGTAGGTGGCTTGATTAGTAAGTTTATGGATGACGCACAGTTTGGGGAAGCTGTGGATTCCCATAGGATACAGCAGGATATAGATAGGCTGACAGACGGTGTTTAATCCAGACAAATGTGAGGTGATGCATTTTGGAAGTTCTAATGCCTGAGGGAAGTATACAGTAAATGGCAGAACCCTTAGTAGCATAAACATACAGAAAGTTCTAGCAAGTCCACAGTTCCCTGAAAGTGGCACCACAAGTCAATGATGTGGTCAAGAAGGCATATGGCATGCTTGTCTTCATCAATTGGGGCATAGAATATAAAAACTGGCAATCATATTGCAGCTAAACTTCAGTTAGGCCATATTTGGAATATTTTGTAGAATTCTGGTCACCACACTACCAGAAGGATGTGGAGGCTTTGGAGAATGTAAGGAAATTATTTGCCAGGATCTTGCTTGATTTGGAGGGTATGAGCAATGAGGAGAGATTGGACAAACTTTGTTTTTACTTGAATGTTGAAAGATGAGGGGGCGACATGTTAGAAGTTTATAAAATTGTGAGAGGCATGGATAAATGAGTAGTCAGTCTTTTCTCTAGGCTAGAAATGTCAATTACTTGGGACATAAGTTTAAAGTAAAAGATCTTGTGTTTAAAGTTGATATGAGAGGCAAGTTCTTCTGTACAGAGGTTGGTAGGTGCCCAAAATGCACTGCCAGAGGAGATGGTGGAGATGAATACAATAGCAGCATTTAAGAGACACATATACAAATAGACAGGGAATAGAGGGACATGGGCTTCATAGAGGCAAAAGCTTTTTAGTTTAGAAAGGCATCATGTGTCAATGCAGGCTTAGTGGGCTGAAGGGCCCGTTCCTGTGCTGTACTGTTCTTTGTTCAGAAGACCCCTCCAAATCACTCACAAGGCTGACGTTATACGTCTGTTTCTTCACCATCACTATCTGAAAATCATTTCATTTTCCACCTAACAACACTCTGTGAGATCGAGGTTGGTGTGGCTCAAGGAGAAATCTAATTACCCCATTTTCATAGTCACTATTAATGGTTAATAAATGTGACAATGCCAGTGCTAACTGCATCAAGAGAACATGATTTTATTTAAATATATTTTTTGCCTAGAGTGTTAGTGGTAGGGCTTGATTGTATTTATTATCATGAAATAGTAATCATGCAGTATAGGAGAGGGCTTTCGATCCATTGAATCTGTACTGCGAAAGCTACGCTATTTCTAATTTCCAGCATTAGGTCCATAGCCTTGATCGTTATGATGTTTCAAATGATCATGCAAGTACTTTTTAAAAGTTATGAGGTTACACCCCTCGACCACCCTCCCAGGAAAAGCATTCCAGATCCCCACCACCCTGTGGGTGGGATAAAACGTTCCTCAAACCCCTCTAAACCTCCTGCCTTTCACTTTAAAATTATGCTCCCTTGCTTATTAACCCCTCAACTAAGGCGAACAGTTACTTTCTATTCAGTCTGTCCATGCCTCTCATAATTTTATACATCTCTATCAGGTCTCCCTCAACCTTCTCTGCACGAAACAAACCAACCTGAGCTTATCCAGCCTGTCTTCATGGCTAAAGAGCTGCGTCCCACTCAACATTCTGATCAATCTCCTATGCACCCTGTCAAGTGCAATCACATCCTTCCTATATTGCAGAAACCAGAACTACATAGAGCACTCCAGCAGTGGCCTTACCAAAGTCCTGTACAGCTCTCTGCTCTTGCGATCTATGCCTTGACTGATAGAAGTAAGTTTCCCATGTGCCTGCTTAACTTTGGCATGCTTGCTTTCATTGGTCGGAGCATTGAGTATAAGAGTTGGGACATCATGTTGCAGCTATAAAGGATTTTGGTGAGGTCACCATCGAAATACTGTGTGCAATTCTGGTCACCCTGTTGCAGGAAGGATGTTATTAAATTGGAAAGGGTACAAAAAAGATTTACAAGGATACCTGGGCTGGAGGATTTGAGATGGAGAGAGGCTGAATAGGTTGGGACTTTTTTGCCCTGGAGCATAGGAGTTTGAGTGGTGACCTTACGGAGGTTTATAAAATCATGAGGGCATAGATAAATTGAATAGCAAAGGTATTTTCTCTAGGGTAGGGAAGTTTAAGCTAGAAGGCATAGGATTAAGGTGAGAGGGGAAAGATTTAAAAGGGACCTGAGGGGCAACTTTTTCACACAGAGGGTGGTTCTAATATGAAATGATCTGCCAAAGGAAATTGTAGATGCAGGTACAGTTACAACATTTAAAAGATATTTGGACAGGTACATGAATAGGAAAGGTTTAGAGGTAAATGGGCTAACCGCAGGCAAATGGAACAAGTTTAGTTTGGGAAACCTCCTTGGAATGGATCAGTTGTCTGAAGGGTCTGTTTCTATGCTGTATGACTCCAGCCTACTAATCTGCCCTGCTACCTTTAGGGATTTGAGGATAATTGTGATGAAAAGGAATAAATGAGTAAGAGAAAAGCTTATTATTTAGAAAATATTTATTTGCATGTAGGTTTCTATCAGAATTAAAGTAGTTCTTTATTTCCCAAACTAGCCATACCATCAAGTTTCCAGTGGTAGTTTATTGAAGTTACATAATACCAATCAATGCATTCAGTGTAAGTTATAGTATATTTTGTTACAGATATCAGTGGCTGATTTGCCTGGTTTGATTGAAGGTGCACATTTAAACAAAGGGATGGGTCACAAGTTTCTTAAACACGTGGAGAGGACCAAGCAGCTTCTTTTCGTGGTAAGAAAATTATATCTTTTTATTTTGAATATTTTTACTGATTAATTCTACATAAGAATTCATTGTTTAACATAGCTTTGCTCATTTAATTTTTAAAAATGTTCATGGTAAAATATTCATAACTTGCATTTCATGCAAAAACTTAAAATTAGACACTCAAGAAATTAGTGCAATAAACTATTTGCATTTTGCTCATAACTGACAATTTTTCTTTCTCTCAGAAATTGAAAGAATTATGACCATGAGGTCAACAATTTATTTTGCGTAAAATGCTATTTTTAACTGGAAAATATTCATATTGTCCAAAAATGGAATTGCATTTCCACTTTATTCAATGATGCTATGTTCTTCCTGGGGAAACTAAAGCAGCAAATAACACATCAAATCTGGATAACCTTTGCTAAGACTGGAAAGTGTTGGAACTCCTCAGCAGGTCTGGCAGCATCTGTGGAGAAAGAAAGAGCTAACCTTGTGCATTGAATGTCACTTTGAAGACCTGCTGAATATTTCCAGCATTCTGTTTTTAATTCAGATTTACAATATGTACAGTATTTTGATTTTGTTTCACTGAGTAACCTATATCCTTAGTAATGTGGTATTGGAGCACAAACTTTGAAGATTTTTGGCTCAGAGGAGACTGTACAGCTTATTCTGCTTAAACTGGCAGAAAATTAACTAATCCCACCTGCTCTTGGTAACCCTGTAGATTACAGAATTTCAAATGCACGTATAAGTTTCTTTTATAAAATCTTGAGAGGTTCTGTCCTGATCATTTTGAAGATAGTAAGTTCAGGATCTTATCAATCTCTGGGTGAAAAAAAAATTCACCTCAATTTTACACTAATCCTCCCCCTAATTACATTATATCTGTGCTTCATGTTTTGCTAAGGGTAATAAGTCCTTCTTAACCATTTTATTTAGGCATCACGAAATTTGATGCAGCTTGGATTAGTACCCCTGCACACTCCTTTGTTCCAAAGACAAGAACCCCAGCCTGTCCAATCTTTTCTCATAGCTATAATTTTCTTGTAATTGTTCTTGTAAATGTAGCACTAATAATGTTTATTTTGAAACAGCATAAGTTGCATTTTATATGATAGTGGTACTCGGTTTTATGGTAGACTACTGCAATCTGTTGGCAAGCTCTGTCCATGTTGTTTAGTGACAGCTTGTGAAAGAAATGTAATTATTTCCAAACAGAATAGAAATCACGTTACATCAGGAAACCACTATTCATGCACTAAGGAAAAAATGTTCAAATCACATGACTTAAGTGCACATTTTTCTTCTTCTTCATTCTTCCTTCCTTGTTTGGAAATGGTGATGCTTTGTAGGATACTACAGCCACCACCAGTATGTGGATCAAAGGCCTCTTTTTCATGTGTGAACTTAGCTAGTGAATATTAACGCATTGTTTTACCAATGAAGGCAAACCTGAAGACTGTGTATCAACGTATCATGAAATAACCAGTCATAGGTTGCTTCTTATGACAGCATTTGTGTTGGATATGCCATCTTGGGTCCAGTCAACAGCAAGTGGGCTGCTTGCATAAGCCTAAAGTAACCTTCCCGTTATTTACGGAATGCTCTTGATACACTGTCAAAAGTCAAAATTTGACTTTATGCTAACAATATGGTTGACATCTGAGCAATTGCATGTTCTAGTATCTTTGTCAATTAACAATATTAGAAAAATTCATTTTTTAAGTATGCTTTACCAGTGGACTTTAGGTTGAAAGAGTAAGAAAAAGTTACACCACAGGAGATGCACTGTTCTTTTTGTTTTAAACTTGAACTCTCTAAAATTTGGGTTTTACTTGATAATATTGTGACAAAATCAATGTTTGTGCACAACTTTTATTATACTCCGTTCTGGATTTATTCTTTGTAGGTGGATGTGACTGGATTTCAGCTTTCTTATAAAGCTCCTTTGCGAACAGCTTTTGAAGCTATACAGCTATTAACAAAGGTAAGCTAGTCTTGTCACGATGATGGCCTTCACATGGAAAGGACATGAAACTAGAGAAAGAAGTGTGCGTATTGTTGAATACCAGTATTTGTAAAATGAGTTACTTGTTCTGTATTTTCAGGAACCATTTCATTCAACATGTTATCTGTCTATTGGTTTTGTGTTGCATGGCTGGCATTTTCATGCTGCCTTGCTAGATTTTATTAATTCCTTAGTTTTCAAACACCTGGCTGGCCACTTTCCGCTGCTAAAGTGATTCTGTGCCCTGCTCTCTGTCTCTGGTGGCTGCTGCCAAATGTTCCACTCCTTTGTCAATGCCATGGAATGGAGAGCATTGCAACCTCTTCTGTAGATTCCTACCTGATTTAGCATGGAGAACGAACTTAAAAGACTCTGGAGGAGGGAATGGGGTAATCACGAAAGCATGTGTTTGTGAGTGACCCAGCATTTCTGTCCTCTGGTACTGTCAACGTGATTAGGCAAGATGAGATTATTGCAGCTGTCACAGAATCCTAGTTCTGAGCCTGACTTGAAATCTGTCAGAATTGGATAAGAGAGAAATTGTTGACAGGACACCACTAAAGACATCTTTCCCTCCTCTTCCTTTTCCAGCTTCCAAACAGACCACTCCTTCCATACCTGCGGTCCTCTCCTCAACCACTCTAACACTGGCTCCCTATTCACGCCTATGCAAATGCAGAAAATGCAGCACCTCCCTATTTACATCATCTCTTCTCACTACCCAAGGCCCTAAATATTCATTCCAGGTGAAACCATTTCTTTTTAATTTTTCCTCTAAAAAGTACAAAAAGTAAAACTCTGGGAAACCCAAAGTAGTGTAATTATCAAAATCCAGGGATGCCACATCATTGAGCATATGTCTTTTGCTGATCTTATCTTCAGTTTAAGATGTGCTAGTTTCAAAATCACAGCAGGCTATTGATTTTACTGGAGATCGTAGGAACTGCAGATGCTGGAGAATCCGAGACAACAAGGTGCAGGGCTGGATGAACACAGCAGGCCAAGCAGCATCATAGGAGCAGATGAGCTGCTTGGTCTATTGATTTTACTGACCATTTTATTCTTCTTTCATGTTCAGGAGTTGGAGCTATATAAAGTAGAGCTTTTATCCAAGCGTGCTGTTTTGGCTGTAAACAAAATGGATTTGGAGAATGCTGAAGAGAAGTTTAAAGATCTAATGCAACAGCTTCAGAAACCTGAAGGTAATTAGAACCAAAGGTTGTACAGCACCAATCCCATTGGACCCAAGACCCTTTACATATCAGTAGTTGAATTTATTGCTATTGTCAATATTTAATACTGAAGAAAAGAATTTTTAATCCCTACCAATTGTTAGTATAATGAGTGACATCACACCCACTGAAGTTTGCCTAAGTGGATTTGATTTTCAGTTTTGACTGATTGACTGGTGAAGGACACTGTACATGCTCATGTTCACACGTGAATAAGTGCACTATGTTACTGGGATTTTGAAGCTCTGGCTCATTGCATTTAACAGGAAAGCTGTGAAGCATCAATTCAACGCCCAGTTCAGTTTGTCAGGTTGAAGACTGAAGGGGCAGCTGTCAGCAAGGAAATTTGCAGCAGTAGTGTACTGAGACAGTATTAAATAAAAACCAAAAGAACTGCAGATGCTGTAAATCAGAAACAAAAACAGAAGTTGCTGGAAAAGCTCAGCAGGTCTGGTAGCATCTGTGAAGAGAAATCAGAGTTAACATTTCCAGCAACTTCTTTTTTTGTGTACTGAGACAGCACCATCTCAGATTGCTAAGGCCTGGGAGGAGTTCAGCTGAGGTAACACCTTTTGGTTGGTTAACACATGGAAAGGTTGGAGAGTTTTATTTGTTCATTCGCCAGTTTGTAGGCGTCTCTGGCTGGGGAAGCATTGTTGTCCATATCTTATTGCTGTTAAGATGGTGATGGTGAGCTGCCTTTTGGAAATGCTGCAGTCTTTGGGTGTAGGTACCCCCACAAAGCTGGCTTGAAGGCAATGCCAGGATTTTGACCCACCAACAGTAAAAGAAGTGATTTTGTTTCAAGCTAGGACAGTGTGTGGTTTGGAGGGAAACTTGCAGGCGGTGGTTGTTTCTATATATCTGTGGCCCTTGTCCTTCTGGGTGTTACAGATTGTAGGTTTGGAAGGGGCTATCGGAGGAGCTGTGGTTAGTCATCGTAGTGCACAATGTGGATGGTACACACTGTTGCTACTGTGTATCGATGGTGAAGAGAGTGATTCATAGAATCCCTACATTGTCAATACTGTGGATGGGGTGCTTGCCGAACAGGCTGTCTTGACATGAATGATGTCCAGCTTTTGAGTGTTATTGGAGCTGTGCCCATCCAGGCATTTCGGCGGTACGTTATCACGTTTCTGAATTGTGCCATGTGGATGTTGGCCAGGTTTTGGGGAGACATGAGGTGTTACTTCCTGCAGAATTCCTAGCCTCTGACCTCTTCTTCTTACCACAGTATTTTATGTGGCTGGTCCACTTCAGTTTCTGGTCAATGATAATAGCCAGAATATTAATAGAGGCGCTTTCAGCAATGGTAATGTTATTGAGAGTCAAGGAGAAATGGTTAGATAACATCTCTTGTTGGAAAAATTTTAAGAGTATGTTATAGAGGCTGTAATAGCATAGCATTTAGATGCATATTATAATCAAGCAGAATCAGCATGGTTTCATAACATGAAAATCATGCCTGACAAAATTATTTAGAATTCTTTGAAGGACTAACAAACAAGATTAAATGAGAGCTTGTGGATATAACATATTTGAATTTCCAGAAGGTGTTTGATAAGGTACTGCATATTAGGCAACATAATAAGGTTAGAGCCCATAGCGCTGTGGGTATGTATTAGCATGGATAGAGGATTGGCTAATTGAGAGTAGAATAAGGGGGCCATTTTCAGGCTGCAAACTATCACTAGTAGAGTCTCACAGGGATAAGTTCTGGGGTCACATTTATTTCTAATATAGTTGTGATATAACAATGACTTGGATGAGGGTAGTAAAAGTACTATCGTCAGCTTTGAGGATCACAAAAATAGGTGAGAAGGCAAGTGGTGAGGAGACACAGTCTGCAGAGGGATTTAGACAGGTTAAATAAACGAGCAAAAACTTGACAGATGGAATATACTGTGGGAGAATGTGAGGTTTTGCCGTCTGGCAGGAAGAATAGTAGACCTGAATATTATTTAACTGAAGAAAGACTTAACTAGGGAAAGATGTACGGGCATTGAAGGAATTTCATAGAGGGTTCACCAAATTCTAGGTATGGAGATATTTTCATATGCGGATAAGTTGAGTGAATTGAGCTTATACTCATTGGAGTTTAGAAGAATGAGAGGAGACCTTATTGAAACAAGGTTCTGAAAGGGCTGGACAGATTGGATGTGGACTTGTGGTTGAGTCTAGGACCAGAGGGCATAATCTCAGATGAAGTGGTGAAACATTTCAGAGAGAAGTGAGCAGGAATTTCTTCTTTGAGGGTAGTAAAACTGTCAAACTCTTTACTGCAGAGAGCTTAGAACTTAGAGGTTAGGCCTTTAAGTACATTACAGGCTGAGGTAAATAGATATTTAAGCCGAAAGGGAGGGGATAATGCAGGAGAATGGCGTTCAAGATTATCAGATCAGCCGGTCAGTTCCCATCACCCTCTGATTGAAAACATTTTTCCTCAACTCTGCTCTTAGTCTTCTACCTCTTGCGTTAAATCGATTCCATCCCACCCCTACACAACTATTGACCTCTCTACCAATGCATAATAACCTTCCTGACCACCCTATCAATGTCCCTCGTAATCTAGTCACCTTTCAACCTTTGCTGCTCCAAGGAAAACAAACTCAGGCTATTCAGTCTTTCCTCACAGTTCAGATCCTCTAAACCAGGCCGCATCTTGGTAAATCTCCTCTGCACCCTCAATAAGTAAACTGATTGTTGTTACGCGAATGGGTGAAAGATTTCAGTTGTAGGAAGGAATGTGGATTTGAGGTTACAACTGGATCAGCTATGCTTTTATTGAATGGCACAACAGGCCCAAGGGGCTGAATAACTCATTGTTGCTCTCTGTTCATGTTATTTAAATACAAGCACTTAATACTAGATATCCAACAAAAATTGTTAGTGTTCTAGGTTCCACATTGTTCAGTCATTTTTTTTGTAATTGGCGCATTTCTATTCTTGAATTCAAATTGTGACATTAGATTTTTGACTAAAAATGAAATGGGTTTTTAATTTGATCTTGATTTATTTTTTCTTGTTTCCCTGTAGCTTTCTATCATTTATTGCCAGAAGAGATGAGACCCTTGAGACCAGTCCAGTTTCAGCACATAATCCCAGTATCTGCATCGACTAAATATGGAATTGAAGAACTGAAAAACTGCATTCGCAAATCATTAGATGATCAAGATGATCTAGAAAATGAACAGTATCGTCTTGAAAAATTGCAGAGTTTACATTCAAGTACTTTCAAATATACCTAGAACTAATAAAGTCAGCAATTATTGGGCCAAATCTTCCATACTGGAGAGATGGGAGGCTTATACTGCCATTCATTTTCACATGGGTCAGGAAGATCATCAGAGAAATGTAAAAGGACTAGTTGCAAATCATTCGATGAAGCTTGATCTTAATAATGCTGCTGCACTTACGTGTACTTCCTCAAATGATTATGAACACCCAGAATCATGCAGCACAAAAGGTCATTTGATTCTTTACAGCTATTGCCTTTTTAAGAGCTATTTATTTGTGTCACAACTGTGCTTCTTATCTGTAGGCTTGCAAATGTTTGCTTTCAGGTATTCAGCTATTGCCATTTTAAAAAGTTTTCACTATGTCTTTTTCCACTATGTTTTAGGTCATTCATTCCGTATCAGAATTAGTGGGGAAGTAAAAACTTGCTATTTTCAGAACTTTCACCATTCAGCCACACTATCCCTCTCATCAGCAGCAGAGTTAAAATTGAGACCTTACAGTCCACCATTTGAAAGGTTTAGAAACATGACATTGCATGACAGAAATTGCTTAGAATTGACACTCTCTCCTTGGAAAAGAAGTTTGATCAGAACGTGGTAATTGTCCATGGGTATGAGAAAAAGCTATAAGCAGCAAATGTGTACTAGGATGGAGTCGCAAGTGGACAAAGGAGAATACAACAGGAGAAGGTCCACATGGGAATGGTTTGTTACGCATTTTAATGTGTTTCAAAAACCAAGTAATAAAAAGCAAAATAATGAAAAATGAATGTGTTAACCTTAAGTGATTTATCTCGTCTGTCTTGTTTTATAGTGAGTGATTCTCTGTTGTATCAATAGGGATGGTGTCAGTCTACTGGTTTACTTTCCTTAGACTTCGCTGATAATCTCAGAGAACCTGTACACTGAATAGTCCTCCAGTTAATAGGGTATGTAATGTATTCCTTTAGTAAATTTAGTGATTTATAGCAATAGGCTGCAGATGAACCACAGTAAATGGTAGAAAGTTTGCTCCAAATCCAGTAAATGATATCATTAGGCATTCTGCAATAGTGCATATTAAATTTCTTGACTGGGAGGTAAGGATTAAATAAATATCAAAGTTCCAGACTAATCTGAGTTTCATTTCCAAGAATGAATGTTAAATACCAGTTACCAACACAGTACGAAGCTAATCTTTATGAGAAATGAGCTGGAGGATCAATATCATCTCACTAAAATCGATATCAAGTAGGTTCCATAATGGGCAGTTGACAAGTTTCATGGCTGGACAGCAAGTTAAAAACTACCCCAATTCTTTTTAACTAATTGAACAGCAAAATAAAAACAACAAATTCCAATCCAGGGATGACATTAACAGGCAAGATCAGATTCCAGATAAACTGGAAGTCATTTTTTTATTAATATATTACAACAGTCTTGTTTCAGAAAAGCATGAGAATTCACGTCCATGTCGCATTATATACAAGTGTGATAATGTACACGGCCAATAGAAGCTTACTACTCAGCCAAAGAAATTGAGCTTTTTCTAGATCAGCGAGATACAATTCTGTAATTGGCGCTACATTCTATTGCCGTTCCACTGAAGCATTTGCAGCATGTTTAAATGGACTAAAAAGTGTAAAAATGAAAATGGCAACGGTCTAATACAACATTGCCTCAACAATTAGCATTATAACCAGCCTGTTACAATGTCAGCTACATCACTATAGTCAAAGACAAATATTGAAGCTGATCTTGTTTTTCTAAAATAAAAGGCATTCCATAAATTATAAGGTGACATGACATTGTTACCTTTGACATGCAGAATATATGGTAAATTTCAAACAATATTTTTCATTATGGTGCACTGGTGTATGCAGTACAGTCAAGGTGGCTGAAAATATGAGGGACAATTTATTGTACACTTTCAATATCCCCTAATAGTAAATAAGTATCAAATGGAAATCTTTAGCCATTTTAATTGTTTCACAGAAATGTACTTTGTTATATAATGACATAATTTAATATCCACAAAGCTAGCTGCTTCTACATATACAACCTCACATCGCATTGATAATAGTGATGCAATGCAATTCAAGGAATACAGCTCAGTCATATCTAAACAAAAGCAGAAAGAATGATTTTACTGCATTCAGCTGCACCAGTGAGTAGGTCTAAAGTGCCAAAACTTAGATAATGAAATCAAATGCTGCAATTGTTCCCATATTACCCTGCCTCTTTGATTTTGATGTTGAGACAATTTAAAAACAATTCCCAAGTGGATGACTGACAGGACCTCTCCCACAGTCAGCATAAGCTCACCTGCACTGCTGGTCAATGAACGCTCCTGCCTACATCGTAAACTCTTAAAACTAATTGAATTTAAACCCTATTGCTCACACTTTCTGAAAAATGCTGAAACTCTCTTTGCAGATGAAGAGATGATCAGCCTTTATTTTAAGAAAAAGCATAATTTAAAAAAGTTTTGACAAATGCTTCTACCACTTAAGTATAACATCAAATGGAGCAAACATTATTGGTTTGGAACCTCCTTGGAGGTGCTTCTCCCAGTGCATGCAGTGATAACACTGCAAGGGCAGCAGAATACCCATATGTCTATCACAACAGGGTGTGTACTGAAGATTCAGTGGTAAAATAGCAACTCGAGGAAATTCTAGGACTTTTCGACAGACTTGCTGAGATGACAAAAAAGGGTGACGAGAAAGATTGCAATTATCATGCCACAAATGCAAACATCTTAAAAGTATAACAGCATTAAAAAGAATCATTTAACACATTCTCAGATTATCAAGGTATCTCAGTAGGTTCAAGAAATAAAGTGACTTCAGTGACAACACTGTTAATAATTTGAATTATACAACACAATTATTTACTATTAATTAGTCTGAAATTTAAACACAAACTACCAATGCTATATCTGGTTTTCTTGATGTAAATCTGTATGTTCTGAAATTCTATGTCAAGTTTCATTGTGACCCACTATCACAAGTGGGTGTTGAAACACCTACTTGGAAAACAGTGGAGATCTGGTTGTCCTCATCTAACCCTAATAAGGCAAATGATTGTCAGGGGTAGAGCTTGAGGGTGGACATTCCATACATTGAGAGTTTACATTCCTCCAGCTCAAGTTGGCACTGGACTGGCATATTAGTGCTTTTGTGCACCATCACATAAATGTGATCCCAGGTTAACTGTCAGGATCTTGATCTGAGGAATTTCAGGGCTAATTCTTATTATAATCTTTCATATGAGAATAATTAGAGAATGACTCAACCATTTGTCTGAATGAATGGTCAAGATTACCAGTGATGTTAGACATACGTTATAGAAGTATTGAGAATTACCCATAAATTTTTCAATTGAAGACTGTAAACAAGTAGCTAAATATAACAGTTCACCATTATCTTGGGTTTCTAATCCACAAAAATGGAGAAGTTAGGATGGCTGGCCAAAAACCTGTTTCAAGCGGTAAGTGTTATGTAGGAAAGGGAGGTGGCGAGACAGTGGGGTTAAAGCAATCTATTCCAGAACTTGAGGTTTAGGCAGTTGAAACCCATACCCAACAATGATGAAATAAGGGATGACACACAAAATCATGCTGGAGCAGCAGAGACTTTAGTCTAATAAAGAATGTAGTGGCAGGGGTGAAGGGACTGGCAGGGGCACGGCGTGGGGAGAATGCTAGAATGTGAACTTTGGTGAAAGCCCTGCTGATATGTGAGCTAAGGACAGAAGTGATGGGTGAACACATCTGGTGCAGGATAGAATGCAAGCGGCAGAAGTTTAAATGAGCTGAACATTCAGAAGGAAGGAAAAGGAAGCCATTTAGGAAAGCATGAAATAGAAGAAGCTGGATTTGTCAAAGGCTGAGCGACCCTTTGTCCAAATCCTCTGTGAGTGACAAAGGTAACCCAGAGAAAGTAAAAATTGTGTAAATCATCAGAAACAATTATTAGTAAAATATGTCAGTAATAAATCCCAGTAGCTGTTCAAGATAAAGCACCATTATCGCAAGCACAGCAGTGGTTCAAGAAAGTCAAATTGCAGGTCAACTAGGATAATGAACATCAAGTTCCAAAAATAATTAGTTCTAAATCTATTAACTGAACTGATACAAGAGAATTATAGCATCTGTACTTCCAAAGTTTAATTCATCTTTAATCTTCATTGCTGGCAGTCTTAGGTTAATGTAGGATCTTAGTTCATGGGACTATAAAATACAAAAAAAAATGAAGGAATCCTAAACCATTACAGAATATTGGTTAGGCCATAGTTAGAATAATGTGGCAAGAAAATGTACAGCGTAATTACAAAAGTGAAGCCAGGAATAAAGGGGCATTAGAGCTTTCACTTGAATAAATAAGGTCAGGAAGGGATCAGGTTGAGTTGTTTAAAGATTATGAAGGGTTTGGTACAATGAATAGGGAAGAACTATTTCTACATTTAAAATATTCATCAATGCACAAGGGGAGAGGTCAGGAGTGAAAAAAAATAGACACAAAGGTTTCTTGAAAATCCTACAAAATAATGACAGAAGGAGAACCTTTAACAACTTTCAAAAGGGAAATAGCTAATCATTTGGGGAAAAAAAGGATCTAAGGGGAAAAAAGAGTTTGAGATCAATTGGGTAGTTCTTCCATAGAACTGCTGCACATGAACAGTCTCCCTCTATACTACAATGTTCTATCACTGTAAAGTAGTATTTTCTTTGCTGCATTTTGTACATGTTTTGAGTTTCCTCAAAGATACCAGAAGAGATTTGACTCTTCTGATAAACATTGCCACAATTGCTGGTTCATGCCCAGGCAGTAAGTTGAAAACCTATCCTGTTGTTGTTCAGATCAAAACTATTTATTTGCTTTTTAATTATTTAGAAATTTTCCCCCAACTGTTGAAGATATGCTGACAACATTTGCCACTGATCAAATTAATTACTGTTCTTATTAAAAATACTGAGTAGAAATTGGGCTGAATGGAAAACATTGCCTGTTTGAGGAGAAGGCATATTTGATTAATTGTAGAACGTTGATCATGATTAAATAACAAGTGGAACATGAAGATTTAATATCTAGTTGTAAAGTTATCATGTTTTACCAAATACAGCTGATAGTAAAGGCACACCCTAGCCCTTTCTTTAATAACAGTGTGTATCTAACATTTGACGTTATCCATTTGTTTTGCTAACTTTAATTGTATGTGCAAGACACAGTTATGAGTTATAAATTTTAGTAGTCCATACTTTGAACAATACTTATGATTACTGGTGATCTCCACTAAATTAGACAATCAATTATCAGGAAATTATTGATAATTTGCACCTGCCACAATTTCAAAGAGACTCAATCCTTTACACAAGACACCAAATCAATCAGATGAGACTGTAATATTAAGCCAGGTATGACCCTGTTTCAGCTTACCATGGCAAACTTCCACTGGTTCGTGTTTGTCAGACAATGTGTGAAAACTGTACATATTTACAAACAAAAACTTTCACTGCAAGCGCTTCTGCCAGTATCAAAGATATGAATACAAAAAGACCACTCTGGTCTTCAGTTGCATACACATTGTTTCCCACAAAAACCCTTACAGATGCAATTTTTAAAATCCCGTTATACAGCTTAACCCAAAGCAGCCTTCGCCAAAATCATACATTTCTTGTTTGTTTCTGCAAGCATTTGGTTGCTACAGATTAATGGAATTGGGTTCAGAAGGGATTCATGCATACAGTATTATTCAGTCCAGTGAATCTGTGCATAGGGGCAGTCAACCAAATCTTGTTGAAAATGGTTTCTCTCAATCTTCTTCCACCGGACTAAGCACCATAATGAATGAGAATAAATGGCAAGGCTATTTTTAATTGTCTGTTTCAGAAAGAGTTTCCATTCCCAGATCACTGTGTGAGTGCTGTGCTTTCCACAAGAATTCTGACTCTCCATCACAGATTGCCAACTGTTTTATTAGCAATCAGTCAGAGTCTACTCAGTATTTTCTATTCAGTCTTTGAAGATAGCACAGTATGTGTTTTCAACTCCTATCTTCCAAAAAGCTCACTGATGCTCCAGAGAGCCATTAATTAAAAGACATTGACATAAGGCTGCCATTTATAAAAATGGAAGAAAATGGAAATCTTTAGTAGCTCAGATCCACTGAATAGAAGTCTAAATGGAGGTCTCCCAGAGCTGTGGAAGAAACATAAATATATATTAGAATGCTTTTACAAATGAGACAAAAACTATTCAGTTTTTATCAAAAGGCAACACTTGTTTATTTATCCAAATTCTAATTCATTTTCATTATTTCTATCCTTTCCAACCCCTAATTCAACAGCATTCAAGCTTTTCCAAATCACAATGCTTAACAGATCGACAAGTGTAATGCTACTGCTACTATGCAGAAACCTAAATAATAAGCTTCACTGATCCCAACTTCTATTTTGTACTTTAAGTACGCACAATTGAATACATCGTGACTAAAATTAATGAACATCAGATGTTACAATAAGTCATAGAAACAAAGTATTTTTTAAACTGTCAATATGGTAAAAAGATTAAAAGGATATAAATCATCATCTATTCATCTGAGCCTTCACATGTATGCAGTTGTGCAGGAGCAGAAGCACTTTACAGACCTCAGTCTGTGACCACTACAATACAGTTGGAACAAACAAGGTTTAAAGTACCTTATTAATGCCAACCATAAAGTGTAACAACAGAAATCTATACTGTTCCTGAATTTTCTTGCAATTTGAGTGGCAATGTATTGTTTAATATTTTGACTTAAAAATAATGAATTCTGAAGTAGTTTTTCATATTCTTCTGTAAACACTTCATGGAAGAATTGCCATTTAACAAATCAAACATGATGTGCTTGGAAGGTGAAATATTGTCTCGTCTTCTTGTCTAAATAAGAATATTTCAGGACATTAATTTTACTCTTTTTTTCCTCTGGTTTTCTTCAGTTATGCATGCCCTACAAGATTAGCAATGGAAGTTGCAAGACAGAATTTAATATTTTTAACAGTCAGAGATTTAACATAAAGTAAGGCATTTATTTTCATCAAACAGATTCATATTTGGAGATTGCTGGTCAGCTCAGTTGGCTAGATAGCTCATGTGTTGTTCAGTGTAATGTTAATAGCACAGTGTTTAATTTCCCCATTTCAGCTGAGATAGCCTTGAAGCCTAAATCTCCAAACTGCCCTATAGCTTAATTGATGCACAGGCTAAGATTTGGCGGTCATTAAATAATCAAGGATGTTATTTGGAAAAGAATAAAATTCACATTCCTTCATTTTATAGTTTGCCATATAACAAATATAACCTTACTGATGGTTAGGGTAACTATTTTAAGATCAGATCTGCTCATTGACGGGCAGTTATTCTTTATGGTGCTACTTATAGAGAACTATGGCAATCAGGCAATAAATGATATTTACAAATGTTTTTGGTGTTCATTGAGATATGTGATGCCATGTCAATTCAATGGTCTAACTGATGAGCTATGATCAATAAATTACATATGTGTCTACCTTGATAAAAGCTGTTAACATCATTACTACAAAAACTGATTACACATTTACAACTTACTTACCCGTGCACTTTGTCGACCAACTTTTACCTCTTCATCCGGAAGAGGTGGCATCGGGTATGGGCATTTCCTACTAGAAGCAATGGACCCATTGGATGACGAATGTGACTTGGAAGGAGACAAAGTCCTAAGATGAAAAACCAAAAATCAACACAGCCTTTGATATCCTCAAGTGAATGACAGCCAGAGTACTAAATCTGTATCAGTGCTGGTGGAGTTTAATTGAACAACATCCAATAAACTAGTAATTTGGAAAAGGATTTCTTTTCTTGTTTTCTTTATTTATTAGATAATTGTTATGCGATAAGAAGTGGACTCTCACTACAATCTGGTGACACAATGCATTTTATTATCCATCTGCACTAGTGTTGTGCAATGGTGAAGTGGAGATGAGATGTTTCCTTGCAGGAAGATTAATTCAAGCTATCAATTCCCCTGATATTTGCTGGTGATCTGATGCAGAGCCAAATCAGTATAGATTTAAGAACAAAATATCCCAGTCAAGGAATGTATTGTGGTATAGGATGTACAAGAGAGGAAAATTTGTTGTTTTAACTTAATACAGACCAGGCTGGTACATCATACTGCTGGCTGATCGTTAAAAGTTCACATTCATATTAGGTAATACAAAGAGAGGAAAGAAAACAAGATCATTTCGCTTACATGCATCCAGCAAAGGCTTGTACTTATAAGGTAAGGCTTGTTACTTATAAGGTAAGACCAAACACAAGAAATTATGTCTATTGGTAAGTGAATTAAGCAAGCAGCAAACATTGCAGACACAAGTATGGAAGGCATGGGTTCAAGACCAGACAAAGAAATCAATGCAAAAGAAACTTTGACCAGCAAACAAAAATTATGATTCAATAAAACTCAAAATAAGCAGCATTAGCAGCATTATGCTTGATATTAAAATTGCCTGAAGTGGTTACTTAACCTGGAAGTAGCTGATGAAGAAAATCAGACAAAGGTGTGAAATTTACAAATAATATGACAGTATGCCTCTTTATTAGCCCAGGCTTTATTCAAATGTTGTTTAAAATAAACTGTTTAGGTTTCTTCAACATAAACCAAATTTTTGAATGATGCTCCCCCCAAATATTTTTGTGGCCACGCTTTTTACTGCGTACACTTATCACTTTGGAATTTCTCTCTTACCCACTCTACCCCTACATTTCCTTCTGCTGCTTTATGATCCTACTAATTTGATCAACTTTTTGATCACCTTTCCCAATGTGCCTTACTTCAGTCAGCTTTGATAACTTTTCCATATGCCTCAGCATTTTGAGATTTTTTTTCTATTGGAAGTGCTAACTAAATGGAAGTTGCTGTCTATTGTACACTGAAAGAAAAATCACAGCAAACATCAAACGTTACTGCTTTCCAATGGTCCATTTCTTTTTGGATGCGACTGAACAGCAACGTAAAGTAAAACGTTGTAAAAGCAAAGTTGTAAAAAGTGAATCAACTTGCATATATTGCAGAGTCCCTACTTTGTCTTGGGGAATATGCCTCTCTGGTTATGTTGTGGATTGGAGAGAGGATAGTTGAAGCTGTCATTTTCTCTCGCTATTTGTTCACAGGATGTGGCCATCATGTTCAACATTTGCTGCCCACCCTACTTACACGTGATTTTACAGGGCAGTTAACAGTCAACCACATTGCTACTGGGTCTAGTTTAAAATGTAGGCTGACTGGAATTGCTGGAAAAGCTCAGCAGATCTGGCAGCATCTGTGAAGAAAAAGTCAGAGTTAATGTTTCGGGTCCGGTGACCCTTCCTCCGTTCTGAAGAAGGGTCACCGGACGTGAAACGTTAACTCTGATTTTTTCTTCACAGATGTTGCCAGACCTGCTGAGGGTTTCCAGCAACTTCTGTTTTTGTTCCTGATTTACAGCATCTATAGTTCTTTCATTTTTTTTAGTTATGTAGGCTGTCTGGATAGGCACAGCAGATTTCCTTCACTAAAACACATTTGTGAACGATGAACAAGTCAGTTTTGTTCCACAATCAGTTACTGGGACTAGCTTTTAATTCCAGATTTATTAACTGTATTTAAATTAATTGGAACCCATGCTCCTAGAGCATTAGTGTCGGCCTCTGAATCATTAGACATTACCACTAAATCACCACCCCTCATGGTTGTTAGAAAAAGAGCCAAGTTGTCATTCTTGAGAATTTAAGGATAGGAAATAAATATTATGAAATAAATTAATTCCTGGGATGCCAGGCTGACGTATGAGGAGAGATGGAGTCAGTTAGAATTGTATTCATTGGAGTTTAAAAGAATGAGGGGCATCTCATCGATAACCATAAAATTCTAACAGGACTAGACAGGGTCAACGTAAGAAAAATGTTCCCGATGCCTGGGGAGTCCAGAACCAGTGGTTATAGTTTACGGATTAAGAGTAAACATTTCAGGGCTGAGAGGATGAGAAATAGCTTCACCAAGAGAGTGGTGAGCCTGTGGAATTCACTACCACAAAAAGTGATTAAGGCTAAAACATTATGTGTTTTCAAGGAGGGAGATATAACTCTTGTGACTAAAGGGATCAAGGGAAATGGGGGGAGAGTGGGATTAGGGTGTACAGCTCAATGATTAACCATGATCACAGTGAAAGGAGCAGGCTTAAGGGGTCGAATGGTCTACTCCTGCACCTAGCTTCTATGTTTCTATATTCTACCCCAGCCAGCAATATCTATGAATGAATATGAAAAATATGCCCCACAACACTGTCACAGACTAGTGAGTGGAATCTCAATGAAACTGAGCCTTGTGTCACAGGGAGGTTGGTAATGGGTTAGAAGACCATTTGCCTTTGGGGTGGGCTTTGCTGTGACTCTCAAACTCAATCATGCCATTAGCATCCTACTTCCAGGTTTCCCGTCAGAGAGGGTAGGTGCCACGTTACACTTAATCTAACAACAGAGGAATTTTTAGTCACAGGGATCCTGGCAGCGTTACAATGCTTGAACTATATGTTGAGTCCTACACCTTCAGCAACCACATGAATATAAAAAGAATCTGAGTCCTACTTGGAGGTCTTGTTACGGGATTTGAGGGATTGAAGTGAGGTGATATTTGCCAAAGACTGGAAGAAGAGGCCAGCCTCTTATCCAGGCAATTGTGGATGGAAGCAGTCCAGGAAGTAAACAATAAGGGTGTAGTCTCTCCAACTTAGACACAGTGCACTATGAGGTTCAAGGACACCAGAAGGCCATGAAAGGGCAGTGAGATAACACATTGTCCACAGTCGTTCCCAGTGAGCTTCTGAGGCACGTCCAAAAATGAGCCTCTATCTGTAAAGGGGTAGGGTCACCGGACCTGAAACATCAACTCTGATTTTTTTCTTCACAGATGCTGCTAGACCTGCTGAGCTTCCAGTAACTTTTGTTTTTGTCTCTGTCTGTAAACACCGTTTGAGGGATTTGCCTCCTTCATGCCAGATCTCTGAGTTCATCCCGAATGCCTTGTGGAGTGAAGAGAAAGCAAATGCTGCTGCTGTTGCTCCAGCTGCTCTCGGTGATGCTGCTCCATTAGTTTCTCATCACCGGTGCAAGGTGGAATTCATAACTGGTCCCATACCATGGTGATGGGCTGACAGTAGGCAAGTATAGATCAAGCAAAGTGAACAGATGAACAGACTTACAAGCTGTTGGAAATCATCCTTCAAGCAGTGAAAACACTCTGTAAGAAGAACAGCTGTCTCTCACCTATTCTGTTTCACACTTTGAAAGCTTTTCAACTTATCAGTTTTACCAAGTAAGCATTTTGCATGCCACATTGACCCTGCTGAGATGCAGAAAGCTTGCAACATGTGAGCTCCAACTGCCAAAACCAAAATACTACATTAAATTCAAAGTTAATTACCTGTGGTATTTTACAATGACTTTATCACAATACGATTAAATTTTCAGTTTGAGGGAAAGAGGAGTGGTTTCAAGATTGTTTTAAAACGATTAAATCAGGTCAATTTTGAGGACATGAAGGCACAACTAGCTAAATTTTTTTTAAAAAATTCATTCCCAGGACATAGGCATTGCTGGCTAGGCCCTAATTGTCCGGAGGGCAGTTAAGAGTCAACCACATTGCTGTGGGTCTGGAGTCACATGTGGGCCAGAACAGGTAAGGACAGCAGTTTCTTTTCCTAAAGGATATTAGGGAACCAGATGGTAGCAGTAGCAGACCTTTGAGAGGATACTTCAGAATATACAGAATTGTAACATTCTAATAAGTAAGAAAAATTCCAAGAGACAGGCTCACCATTGTGGTTAACTAGAAATGTTATAGATAGTACTGAATTAAAAGAAAAAGCATATCATTCTTCAAAATTAGGTAGGTTAAAAGATAGACAGAATACAAAAACAATTAATAAAATGGGAAAAGAATCAGAGTACGAGAAAAACCTAGCCAGAAATAAAGAAACAGATAGGGGGGTTTAAATATGCAGGTGGATTAGGAAAATCATGTTGGTAGTGGATTGCAAGAAAAGAAGTTTGTGGAATGTCTATGAGATGGCTTTTTGGAGCAGCTCGTGGTGGAGCCCACAAGGGAACAGGCAATACTGGACTTAGTGTTGTGCAATGAGGCAGACTTGATAAAGGACCTTAAGGTAAAGGAACCCTTAGGAGGCAGTGATCATAAGACGATAGGATTTACTGTGCAATTTGAGAGGGAGAAGATAGAATCAGAGGTGACGGTATTACAGTTGAATAAAGGCGACTACAGAGGTATGAGGGAGGAGCTGGGCAGAATTGACTGGAAGAGGAGACAACAAGGTGCAGGGCTGGATGAACACAGTAGGCCAAGCAGCATCATAGGAGCAGAGAGGCTGACGTTTCGGGCCTAGACCCTTCATCAGAAAAGGGGGAGGGGAAGAGGGTTCTGAAATAAATAGGGAGAGTGTGGGAGGCGGATAGAAGATGGATAGAGAAGAGGATAAGTGGAGAGGAAACAAACAGGTCGAAGAGGCGGGGATGGGGCCAGTAAAGGTGAGTGTAGGTGGGGAGTTAGGGAGGGGATTGGTCAGTCCAGGGAGGATGGACAGGTCAAGGGGGCGGGATGAGGTTAGTCGGTAGGAGATGGAGGTGCGGCTTGAGGTGGGAGGAGGGGATAGGTGGGAGGAAG